AGAAAGAACTGAAATTTTATCTTCAAATGTTAAAGAAACAATTTATTTATTTATGTCCTGGAGTAAACTTCTGCTTTTCTGTTAAATATGAGGCTTAGTGATTTTTAAATCATTAATGCGAGGGCCTGGTCAAGAACAAATGTTCTCTTCACCTGACTCTAGTACCTCCTGTGGAAGATTTCTGACCCCCTGCTTCATAGCATCTTGGCAAAATGCATACCTCAGTAGCATAAATTCAGAAAAGGTACTGCTAATACATGCACCACAAACTTTTGAGAAGCAAAAACCAAAATTTTGTCAATTGATATAAATGTAGGAAGTAGTTTTGCAATTGCTTGCAAAGTTTTATCTAAGAGGTGTCAAAGTAGCAAACCTTATTCACGGTGACTGCTTTCAAGGCTGTCCTCCCCCAACTGCTTTACTTTAATGCATGCATATTACAACCTCACGTAGCACAACTAACACAAGCTGAATTGCATCAGCTGGAAGAGGCAACTGCCTCCTGGGTGACGGAGGCACAGAGCTGGGTACAGGCTACGCAGGAGCCCTCTATCTCCAGACACCAGTGTCAAAGGCTGCCCGAACCCTTTAAAGAAGAGGCAAAAGACAAGGTGGTCCAACAACGGGCAGCCTTGTGCTGCCTCCCTTTCTTCCTAGCATTCTACTCACTGCAGGCTGCAAATATCTCACTGAAGCATTCTTACATTTGACAAAACCTTTTTAATATAGTTTTTGTCCAGAATTTCACAGGACAGAATATAAAAAGGGAAACTTTAAATTTTATTTTCATTAGTTCATTTCTTGGATCTAAAAGTCCATTCCAAAATAACCAAGAAGCAGTAAAACACAGGTATAAACACTTGAACATTGTGAGTTTATTACTGCATAAGACTTAGAGATGAAAACAAAATTAATACAAATGGAAGCATTTTATTGCATTACTCAACCACAAAATTGTGTAGTTGATGTACAAGAGAAGTAACAAAACCACGTTATTTAAACTTAAACTTAAAAGTCCTAAACATTTAAAAGTTCTAATGGTGGCGGCTTAAGAGGAATCTTTCCAATCGTAAACTTTTTTGCTTCAAATTGTTTCAACTCTTCAGCTGATAGTTCGTTCTTTGGTGTAAATAACTTTTCTGAGGTAGCACTGTTTGTGACTGCAGAAGACGCTGACGTTACGTTATGTCCAGAGGCACTGGCAGTCTGTCCAAATAAAGCACTGCTTGAATGCGAGGGAGCAGGGGCTGCTGCTGCATTAGAAGCTCCAAAGGCTGTCAGCGGAGCAGTGCTTGAAGAGTTCACAGCAGAATTGCCAAACCCTGAAAACCCAGAAGTTCCAAGCTCACGAGTTGTTTCCGAAGTTTTAAAGGAGAAGGAGGCTGCAGACGGAGCCGCCGGGCTGCCAAAACCAACAGAATGGGATACGCTAGGAGAGGACGTCACACCAAATGCAGGAGGATTACAACCAGCAGAAGAGCTTCCAAAAGCAGGGGTGTTTCCAGATGATGCACTGATGAGACTGGAACTTGTTTTAAAGGAGAAACTGCTAGCACTGCCGCTGTTCACAGGGAAGTCTGAAATTACAAAATTTATAAAAAAAGTTAGAATGTGCACAGCTGTGATACTAAACCACTGCTGTATTCTAATAATGCAGAAGGAGAAAAACTCAAGAAAATATTGAACTGTTGGTTCTTAATGCAGGAACTTACTTGACAACCCAAAGCTTGATGTTTGCTGTCCTCCAAATCCAAAGGAAGGCACTGGCTGAACGACCGTGTTCTTTAATTCAGATAGCTTAAAAAAAATTCAAATACATAAATGAAAAGTAGATTCCAAAGCAGGGAAATGTCTTTAAATAAATATCTGAAGCAGAAATATAGCTGCCCAGTCCCATTTAATACAACTTAGACTAAGGTAGACATTGATCACTTCCATCATGATTGCATGCTTTTGCAGCTGTGAACAAAATGCTTTAAGGCTGTACACTGTTCTCTGTAAAACACTTCAGAAACACAAATATATTAGAATTTACAGATTTTTGTCTGCCAGTCAATGATCGGCACACCTTTTCCAGCTCTCGTTCTCATTTGTTACCTATGTCAGTTAGTGCTTTATGACCCTACCTATGTCATGGATGGTCATGACAGTTGGACTTGATGATCTTAGAGGTCTTTTCCAACCTTAATGATTCTATGATTGCTTTGCCTTAGTCTGTTCTCTCACCTTGGCACATCTACTCTTCTGTCCTACAGCCTAAATCCCACTTCTTCACCTTCAGCACTGAACATAGAATCATAGAATCATAGAAAGTTTTGGGTTGCAAGGGACCCCTAGAGGTCATCTAGTCCAGCCCCCCCGCAGCGAGCAGGGACACCACTAACTAGATCAGGTTGCTCAGAGCCCTGTCCAACCTGGTCTTGAACATTTCCAGGGATGGGGCCTCCACTACCTCTCTGGGCAACCCGTTCCAGTGTTTCACCACCCTCATTGTAAAGAATTTCTTCCTTATATCTCGCCTAAACCTACCCTGTTTTAGTTTAAAACCATTACCCCTCGTCCTATCACTGTTGTCTCTACTAAAAAGATTGTCCCCATCTTTCCTATAGGCTCCCTTTAAGTACTGAAAGGCTGCAATCAGGTCTCCCCGCAGCCTTCTCTTCTCCAGGCTGAACAAGCCCAACTCTCTCAGCCTGTCCTCATAGGAGAGGTGCTCCAGCCCTCGGATCATTTTTGTAGCCCTCCTTTGGACCCGCTCCAACAGTTCCATGTCCTTCTTGTGCTGAGGGCTCCAGAGCTGAACGCAGTACTCCAGGTGAGGTCTCACCAGAGCAGAGTAGAGGGGCAGAATCACCTCTCTCGACCTGCTGGCCACGCTTCTCCTGATACAGCCCAGGACACGGCTGGCCCTCTGGGCTGCCAGCGCACATTGCCGGCTCATGTCCAGCCTTTCGTCTATCAGTACCCTCAAGTCCCTCTCAGCAGGGCTGCTCTCGATCCTTTCACCCCCCAGCCTCTATTGATAGCGGGCATTACCCCGACCCAGGTGTAGGACCTTGCACTTGGCCTTGTTGAACCTCATGAG